ACAAAATAAAATTGGTGGACTTCAAGGACTTAGTGAAAGAAAAGTAGATGTATTTTGCCTTGCACTTTTGCTTCTTATCCTCTGTAGAACTGCCCCTAAGCTTCATTAACCAAGTAACTGCAACCGGTTTTTACCCTATTTCTGTACAGGGAAGCAATTGGAAAAATCCTTGCACGAGGTCATAGTCGTGTTCCAGTCTATTCAGGGAATTCAAAGAATATAATTGGTCTACTATTGGTATCAGTAGAATTCTTAGTAACTTTATTATGCCTTCTAATTTTTAACCTCCATCTGATCTTTTATGCATCGCTTTAAATGCAATGGCAAGCCAACGTCTGGGAAATAACATTGTTTATTTTGTTTAAAATAAATTCTAATTTTCTGGTTACTGGTTTCTCTCTGATCGTCGTGCCCTTCACTATCATTTTCAATTAGTTTTTTGCCTGGATTTAGGTGAAAAGTTTACTGACAGTGAGAGCAGAAACAGAAACTCCAGTCAGTGCTGTCTCCATACGGAGAATTCCTAGGTATGATATGTCCTTCCCATATATCCAATTAAAAATGATTTTCACCTATTCACATGTTATGCAGGGTTCCGTCGGATATGCCTTTATATGATATCCTAAATGAGTTCCAAAAGGGAAGCAGTCATATGGCTGCCGTAGTCAAGGTAAAGGAGAAGAATAAGAACTCTATGCTTACCAATGATGGAGAGAAATATGAGGAAGAGAAAATTATCTCTGGGATATCTCCGCTAGCCATTCCCTTGCTCACCAAACATGATAATGATTTGGAAAGTGTTTATGTTGACATTGAAAAAGCTCCAATAAATACTGGACACAAACAAACCATGAAGCCGAATGTGGCTGCAATGAATGGAGTGTGCAATTTGTTAGAAGAGATTGAAGATGAGGAAGTTGTTGGAATAATCACCTTAGAGGATGTTTTTGAGGAACTTCTGCAAGTGAGCACAACTTCCATTATTTATAATAGAAAATATATAATTTTTGGATTATAATGGCCAAGTAGGATTTGGGAGCTGAAATATCAGCTTAAATTATTTTTCCTGATGAACTAATATTTTTATGCAAATACAGTCCATTTATGGTGAAAATGCATGTAACTAAGTTGAAACATATATTGCAATAATAGATACTCGGTTTTCACTGACTTGCCTCATAATGCAGGAGGAAATTGTAGATGAGACAGACGTATATGTGGATGTTCATAAAAGGTAGGTTCCTTTTTTCTTTAGCATCGAGCTCATTCATCAGACTGCATACTTAAATGTAAAATATGTCTCACATTTGTAGGATACGTGTGGCTGCGGCCGCGGCAGTGGCTGCTACATCTGTGGCGTGGGCTCCATCAGCTCGTAGGTTGACGCTTGACAGGTCAAAAGTTCACTGTAAGTTATAAAAAACTTGTCCAATTCTCAAGTTGCTTAGTACTTCTGTTGCTATTAGCATTTCTAAAAACTAAAATTGGTCCTACATCAAAATATTATTTCATGGTTTGTTCTACTATAATTTCATAAGTCTTTATTGGTCAACTATTATACATCCTGACTAAGTTAAATTACATAAAATTTTGAAAAATGGACTCCCAAAGTATTGTTGCCATATGATAACGTATATAGTGAGAATTCTCCTTAAAAATAAAGAAAGAAAGAAAGTAAGAAAGAAAACATATGTAGTGGGAACCGCTTTGGTGGGGTTGTTTGGTAATAGTAATACTTTCATTTCCCTTTTATTTATTTATTTTTTATTATTATTATTTTTTTGTCGTTTTCATTCTTTGATAAACAGGTATGTTTAGTAACTCTATGTTTTTTTACTCATTGCCCGGAAAAATTTTGAAAATCTCATTTTTGTTTCTCCTTCCATAATATTTAGAAATAGGGGGAAGAGCGCAAAAATATCCATGTGGGCCCTTATATACGCATAACACATGTACTTATTGACTAACAAATGTCTGGTCTTCTGAGTATGTATGCAAGTTATATTATTTGTACTTCACAGGGAGTTCAAAGTAGGGTGGTCACGATCCCAGTAAGGCTGCGGAAGATGATACACTCAATGACTCAAAGAATCGAATGGGAATTTCTACCAAATAATAAAAGATGAATCAACAAAGTTTCAAATGGATTTCTAATGCATGCTTCACCAAGCTTAAACTCTCCATCTTCTGTAGTGTCTATTAGAAGGATTTTAACTTCAGCTTTAGAATCAGAAATCATCCCAGGGAAGTTCCAGTTAAATGTTTAAAGCTCGCCAGTGCTTCAAGCAAACTAATAATTATAATAGTATGATATTCTCTCATTGTTGTATACAGTAGAGGATAATAATAGCTGCTAATGTAAAGAACGAGAGAGCAATGTAGTAAGTTTGACTCACTGGTAAGTTTGACTCATTGGCTTTTGCTTTGTATCTTCAATGGGTTTGGGGGGAAGAAATACTCAAATACCGAATATTAAAGAATGGTGACATTCAAGTCTCTAGACCCACTACTTTAGGAGTAGTTACACGTATTTGTCAGTTGGGGTTTTGGCATGGTGTAAGCTACCAATTCGAGTTGGACTCTTTCGTGAGCACATTTTTGTATGATATTAGAAAAATGTATATGCTTATGAATTTAATAGTCATCAGTCGGATTTGATGATATCAACTTTCTTCAACCCGTAATGGGAGGTGATAAATAGGTACAATCATTATCTGGCGTAGATCGTGCTTGGGAATTAGTATAACCCTGTCATCCGTCCTAAGGACACTGAACACTACGCAGCTGCAAATAACATTACAATGGGGATAATAATCAATACCTCGATTGATGATGCTACCTCACAGTATCCCAAATTTTACTCCATCAGATGAAGAGAGGTACTTTTATATGATCCATTAGCATTCTAATTCTCCACTCTGTTTTTCCCCCTTTTCCATGTTGCCGTTGTTTCCACTAGTCATTCTAATTCCCCACTCTGTTTTCCCCCTTTATCCATGTTGCCGTTGTATCAGTGTCTTGGATTACATTTAGAGAGTGGAGACAAGCTGGAAAAGAAACACTGCACTTAGTTCTTTTACCTGGCAGGTTAGATTTATATTTACGTAGTATTAAATTTATGTTGATCTTTGTTTACAGATAAAGTTGAATGACATCTCCAGTCCGGCGTAGGAATTGTTATTGTCTATTCAGATCGGAATATTGGATGCTGCCTTGGGGGAAAATTTTTTTTATGTACATGAACTGCCAGATCAGATAGTAAATAAACAGGGATGATCATGCAACAGTGTTAGATGATGCATGGGATAGAGTTGTCAAAATTTTGGATTTGGTTAGTGATAGAACCCATATTACGGAATACGATTGACTAGGAAATTGAGAATGATACAGCCCTAAATCAGACTTCCGAGAGGTTCACTCTCTGTAGCATACCGAAATCAAACAGGAACTTGTCCTGTAAAATACCCCACTATTCTATCTGGATAACCGAAATGCCATAGTAAACCATGTGTACAAGAAACCGCCATCAACCTCCCACATTACATAAAAGTCACTTTCACAGCGACCCACATGTCCTACTAGTATTTTTGTGGTTCGTTCTCCTAGCATAGGCGTAACGAACTGGAGGAAAGATAGAACACTTGGCTGTTTCCTATTTCCATTTAGTTTCATAGACTTGAAATCCATTGAAATTTTTGTTTACAGAGGATATAGTACATTGCGAATATGGGGTAGAACTATTGGGAGCTTTTTATCCTGCTCGCTGGGTACGTCCAGTGGGGAATTCTAAAGAGATGGGCTCAAATAGAGTAAGCTTCGTATAGTGCATTCGGTGGCTTTGTGTATAGTATACATTGACTCTCCTATCAATTTGGGGGAGATTGATTCACCTATTCAACATGAATAAATTCTTATGTATGTCTTTTGTAGTGTTCTCTATGTCAATTCAATTGATAAGTATAATGACTCCTGTTGCCGTCTACTCTTGTATCGCATAAACAACATGGAGGAAAGATATATATTGAAATTGTGACACTTCTATTATCATGAAGAATTCAGTGTTACATCAAGGTTGAAAATTGTCAATATGAATATTACAGCAAAGATATTGTTGATGTCTTCATCCCTGTTCATAAATCATGTTCACTCTTTTTAATTAGATGGTCTCTCTTTCTAACACATGCTGTGGTTGCGAAGGTCTGCTGAAATTATCTTTTTCTAGTCAGTGCAAAACCGGTTCAATCAAGTTCACACAGATGCTCTGCCAACAGTACCGCCACTTGGAACTATGATACAACTAATAAGTATGAAGTTATGGACGTTCTTTAAGGACTTGGACTAGAGTGATAACTCAGAATGGAGGCCCACATAGTCAAAGTAAATATTGGTTGGGAAAAGAAAACATTCATTAAGTTGAAATGTTGGAAAGAGCTCTTTTCCTGAGAAAATAGTGCAACCCTGGCCCTCTATCTTCTTCCAGAAACTAGTAGGAAGACTTTGTACTTTGTAGACTTCTGGACATTGCCCGAGTAGGGTGGACTTCTCAAAAAGTGTACTTGGAAAGTTTTTTTTTAATCATTTAACCACAGTGAATGTAGGAGAAAACTGCTATCCTTCACGGAAAACTAGTTGAAGGCAATTGGTCCATCTACAGTGTGGATGGTACCACAAATGCTATTCAATTTGGTACGAATTGAAGTTAGTATGTGGTGATTTTGTAGCCAAGTCGCAACTTAGAATTCAAGGTTCCGAAGTAATCCAAAGACTTGGCTCTCAAACTTCTTGATGTGACAACCTATGATTGAACTAGATTAACTTAACCAGATTAATGGCGAATGCTATGATTAAATAAAAGAACATCTACGCAGTCGCCTTTTTTAATTGGCAGATCATGATTATAATTTTATATGGGTTGCGGTTACGGACCCCCACGAGAATGGGAAGGAGAGAACAGAAGGATTAACAGCAGAAATAAAGGGGGGAAGTATTGAACTTGATCTCTGTTTCAATGGAAGAAGTACTTAACATGGTATTCAACGCGGTGAAGTAAAACAGTAGTCTCTGCAATCCTACTTTCTTCTACCTAATTACCAAAATGACACGATTCTATCTTTCAATGTACATAATGTCACTTGTTCTCATCTACCACTCTACTCAAAAACATTCCCTGCTTCTTCAACTCTGTATGCTATAGTTAGTGCAAGAGAATTTGGAGTCCCAGTGACAATTTGACTTCTCTTCGATCTCTACCTTTAGCTTTTGATGGGTGGTCAGTCTTAATCATGCCAGCATAGAAGCATCACAGCACATCTCCAGATGATATAAAGCCTAGCCCTCTGCTCTCTGATTTGCTTTGAACACTGCTGCCACGACCAAATCTTTGAACTCCTCATTGTGAATGAAAGAAGAACTATAAGGAGAGCAACTGAATCAAGGTTTAGTTTTTGTGGCCTGAAGGAATAGGCTGAGAGGGTAGTGATTAAATAGGAAGAGGATTGTGAGAAACAACATGTGGTGGGAGACAGGTGTTGGCCCATGATTGGTCTAGTGTCTAAAAGAGATGATAAACAGACTTATTCCCCTTGTCTCCTTGCTAAGCCCACCTGATAAAGACTTCTCATCTGTTTCTTCCATTGTAGGGAAGCACTTGTCTAACTTATTCGCACGTTCTATTTCATGAATTCCACAGTCCATTAAATAGTTGAGCATACAAATTAAGCCAAAAGGTGGGAGAAAATATCAATTTGTTATGAATATCAGATCAGAAGCAGTTATGATAAACATAAGCCATTGGGTCCAACCCTTCTTTGGTTGGTGTGGAATTTATATCTGATTATATGAAGTCTCCAGAAAGAAAGAAGGGTTGGATTAGTTATATTCTAAAATGTGTTTTTTAAGTCCATTTGATAAACCATTTTATTCCTAATTCACAAATTTTGAAAATAGAAGAAAATTATAAATTTTGTTATATGTATCAAAGGAGAGTGCGGTCTCAAGAACTTTCAGATGAGCTGGCTGATTTTAATATCATTTATTTGCCTCTTGGCTTGGAAGACAAATGCTTGGTAGTTTGTGGAATGCTTCCAGCCTTATCACCAAAGGAGTTATTTATCCTACTCTCAAATGGATGCTTCCAATAAGCTAGGCCTGTCATTTGTTGATGGAGGAGCTAAGAGGCAAACGTAGTTTCCAATAAGCTTCCAATACATGACCTTATAATATATCAGAGAAGAATTTCCTCACTTTGAAGTGTCGCTCATTTGAAGACAAGCTTTATTTGCTTAATAAGAAGTTGGAAGCCCTTTGAGAATTTGAAGTCTGAATATCTGAAGCGATATAATGATGCCATCTATGATAAGAAAAAGCTTGTTGATGATACAATAGCTAATCTACATTTTTTTTTTTTTGGAGAGATGCATAAGTGACCCAACCAAAAATTCCATACATAAAGAATAGAACCACCTCAAGATAATATAGGGCCTAAGATAACTTATATGTATTACATTTTATAATATAATTCACACGACTTTAAGTACAATTTAATTAATTTTAGTTTTCAAATATTGTTAATTTTACCAATATTTTATAAGCATTATATGCATTATTATTAAAAAGATTTCATAAGTTAGAGAGAAAAAGAAAAAAAGAAAGAAAATATTTATATCTAATAGAAACTTTAATATGTTGGATAAATAAGATAGATGAAGGTTGAGAATATATGAAAAGATTAGGACGGCCTAAAGCCATGGAGATGAGATAAAAATTTCTATTTTACTCTAATGTCGTAAACAAAATTTATAATTATTACTTCAAGTCTAAATATATTTGTTAATCAAATCATCTTTATATTTATAAATATTTATATTGGTTCTTTTATTTATTTGGGTTCTTTTATGAAACTTTTATTCTATAAAAGGAACCGGCCTAGGCAATTTATGATATGAGTAGAAAATAGAGACCTCCAAAATCACGAGACATTAGACAATTAAGTCGGTACCGTATAATATTATGCATTGCATGTATGGAATATATATTGAGTTTATACCAAGGATAGTGGGGAATTCGAACTTCTCATCTTTTATGGGAACTAATGAACTATTCTCAAGATTCTTTTTGTAATGATTAATGAGTAGATTTGCAAGAGTGGTCAAGTTCTCCTGGAATCTTCAATGAGCTTGGATGATTTAGTCAATTCTTAATATTTTTATTTTAATTTCGTTTATGATTACATTATATTATTATATAATTAAAAGGAAAAATAGAATGCAAAATGAAAGCTGAAAAGTAAAGTCACAAGATGTAATGACATTGAGGCAAAGTCAAGGTTTGGTGCATAGAAAGTTTAACTAGGGAGGATCTAAAGAAAACAGTTTATTGAGCTGAAAAGTAGAGTATGTCATTGGAAGCAAGCACATAAGTAAAGTAAAGTAAAGTAAAGTAGCTTTAACTACTAAGAAATATAGGCAGACAATGCAAAGCCAAGCATGAAGCATGAACCCAATCTCATCCATTATTGAAACCGTGGAAAGAAGTAGAAGTAGAAGAAGAACCCACGGATAAGTATGAAGGGCGCTTACTAGTTGTTAGTTGTTCCGACATGCCGTCCAGTCCCAATCTCCACTCCTCAAAGTCAAGGCTCAAGCCCTTTCATTTTCCTCTTGGTTTCTGCAGCCCTTCATCCTTTCCTCAGGTTCGACATGTCGGCCCACCCCACCCTTTTCATTGGGCCCAGCCCACGTGAGAGTACTGCGTGTATCTCGTGGGGTTGCCGTTCGTGAATCATGACTTGCGAGTGCCGAGTGGCAGTGCATGCATCCGAGGAGTCCTCATGTAATCTTATCTTCTTTTTCTTCTCTTTTCTTTTTTGGTTACAGTTTTCTTTTTGTTTTTGAGGAATAAGGTGTTTGAGCCTAAGCTAATTAGATATTTGGACGGTCCATGGTTGTGATCCAAATTCCACTTTGCCCCACCCCTAACTCTTTCAAGTCTCTATCTTTGTCCATCTCAATTTCATGAAAATATTTGATATCGATAGATATTCTAGAAAGATTTATTAAAATAAAATAAAAAGAAATTGTAAAAAATATTTAAATTAACAACTTCAACATTTCTAGACAATTTAAAATTTTAGTGATATTTTTTAATATTTTTTCATATTTAAATTGACTGGATCGTCCGACTCCCTTGACAGCCCCCATCAACTTACTAAAAACATGCCATGCAAGGAATTTGATGAAGCATAAGTGACCCAACCAGAAAGTCCATACATAATCAGTCTCAATGTATAAATATAGCCATCTTCTGTCAAGTGTCAACCCAAATAAAGATAAGATTATACAATTTCGAAATCTGAAGACATTGCAACACGATATTTGCTTAATAATGTCTCTAGTTGAAGGGACTAAGCTTGATCCAAATTCACTATAACCTCACTCAAACCTCTCCCAGTACTTCCTTTATATCTGCCTGCATCACAACGAAACACAGTATTCATTAGGCTCGTTTTCATTTGATAAACAGATCGATATAGATCTTAAACAGCTCTTGAGAAAAATACCTCAATTGCCAGGGGCGTAGTCGTCGTGCCATAGCGTTTGATGGCACGACCTTCTTTGTCAACTAAGAACTTGGTGAAATTCCACTTTATTCTGGACCCCAAAAATCCAGTTTTACTGGCTTTAAGGAACTTATAGACGGGTGCCGTATCAGGGCCATTCACACTTACCTGAAAACAAAAGATGTGTTGTTTCAAGCTCAGAATTAAAAGTTTAAAGAGAAGAATGTAAATATAAATAATTCTGATTTGGAGGATGTGACCTCTTTGTAACATCATGCATTGATAAGTTTAAAGTGCAGCATGGTATATTACAGAGTTCAGCTTGTTGCATCACACGATGAGTTTCTCCAAGCCGTATAGAGTTATTCAATATCCATAATGGTATAGAGCTTAGGTTGACAATTCATAAGACTAGCACAGCCATTTATTGCAGTAATACAATAATACAAGGAGATTATACAGTAAATAACGTGCATCTGTTTTCCCCTAAAAATAGACTCCTGAGCTAGAGATCTCTGACTCACAAGAAATTGGTTCATTTCAAAATCAAATTAACCAAGCAAGAACGTCATTCATTACGGATTTTGGCCCTAAAGATAGTTTGTCATTCATATATCTAATAAAAATTTGTAAGAGCTAGCATATCAGTGCTTGTTCTCAAAATATCGTTTTAGTTTTTCATTTATATGTCAGCATTGTCTTATTATAACTGCAGACAACATATGGAGATTGAGAACGTTATGAAATAGAGTCTCAATGGAAAGGGGGGAACTTGGTAGAAAAAATAGAAGGTTATCTTCAATAAGAAGACTGGATTTTCTATAAACATTGTACACTAGCTGTCTGAAAAGGGTGAAAGAGGAGGACGAAGGAAGAATGAAATTCTTTCTTGTATTGAGSAAATAAGCTCAGCCTATTGAGCTAGAAGGGAAACACGCACAGTATATATACAGAGGAAAAATATGGCAGACAAAAGGAGAAATACCAAGCTAGCCCCGTGACAGCAAGGGGAATTAACCACATGGGACAGTCTCAATTGTCATGCAAAGAGTCGAAGGCAATTATAAATGAGCAACTATATAATTAAACTTGTAGTCCTCTGCAGACTGACAGGAGTAGTAACCGCTGGAAGTTTGGGGTGTAACCGAAGGAAAAATGCTTGGCAAAGACTAAAATTTTTATGATTATGTAAGACAAAATATGGAAGAATAGTTGCATTCTATTCACTAGAGTTACATATATAATGTTATATGGACAACAAGAAGCAAGGAGGATATGCTCGAGTAAAAATAGTTTATAATAGGTCAAGAATCCTAAGATACCTTTTGGAATATTGGATACTCAGCTTTGAATCTTGTACAGGCAAATTCCTGTGCCTCCTGGCTCGATCCAGGTTCCTGATTCAAAAACTGATTACATGGAAAAGCCAAGATCTCAAATCCTGGAAATCAGCACATAGATTTCGTCAACGAAGTAAAACAAGGAAACTCAATTAATCCGTAATTGCGCACAAAGGACAGGAGTAGAAAAACCTGTAACAAAAACTAACACTGTACGAACATGAAGATCATGAAGATCATGAAAATTAAGCAAAAGTGCGGACCTTTGTCCTTGTACTTGCTGTAAAGCTCCGTCAGCTGGGTATAATTTGAATCTGTGTAACCACTGCACAAGCAATTCAAAGTTTTCCAGGAATAAGAATCCCAAGAATTCAAGTAGCGAAGTACAGAGGAAAAGAAGACGGACCATTTGGAAGCAACATTGACCACAAGAAGAACCTTTCCCCTGTATATGCTTAGGTCTACATCTTGCCCTCTGGCATCCTTCGGCATGCCAACCCAAATACCTCAATTTCATTAGTTTTAGTTTTGAAGTGTCTTCGAAAATAACCAGTACCAGTAGCAAGCAGGAAAGAGGTTTGAGAATTTTACCTTGACCACGAATTCATGAATGGACTTCTCAGAGACTGATTGAGAAGCACCCATTTTCTTCCGTTTTCCTTTGTTTCTGCGTTTTCTCCTGTTTCTTTGTTTGTCTTTTTTTTTTTTTTTTGCTTTTGTAAAAGGGTTTTCTCTTCTGTTTCTTGTCCTTCGCCGGGCAAGATAACGTGTTTATTATATTACCGAAAGAATGAAGGAAAAAAATAAAAATAAAAAAAGGAGAAATTTTAATGGGCCGCAACCTTGGCATATTTGTAAATCTTATCTGACGCAAACAAAAACAATTTGAAAATATATTTTTTTTAATTTTCTCCAGCTTATTTAGATATTTTTATATAATATTTTTTTTACCCAAGATATTATTGATATATCATTTTCACGTCTCCTTATAGAAGTCTATAGTTATTCAAGAAAAAAAAATCTATTAGCAATAAAGGCAGTAAATTTTTATAATGGTAAGATGCTACACGTGATTGACTATTTCTATAATCCTCGGAGGCTGCTATTTTTTGGCGAGACGGGCGTTGCAGAAGAAGGAGAATGCCATCTGGATGGAAGAAGGCCCTTTGGGGTTGTCCCGATTTTAGAGAGATTGTATTTTGGGTGTTTCATCTATTTAGTTTCTTTATTATTTTTCTGCTTCAAAAAATAAATGATACACCTGACATTAAATTAGCAGTCATATAGAACATTGATAGAAAATGAAAGTTACATTAATCACTCTTATACCATTTTTACATGGGTGATAGATAAAATATGAAATAAGCATGAAAAAAAACATGGATAAATGAATTATAGAATCCTTATACATCTTTTTTATTGACTTTATCCATTTTTATTTATTTACTGATCTACATATCAAAGATAGATTTTATCATTGATGTTGAGCCTTTCAAAAAGAGACGTGGGGTCGAACCACCAAATCTCAATCAATTTACTGTCATTTTTATATTAAAAAGAAAAAAGTTGCTAGAATTAAATTTTGTGTTGCATGAATTATTTGTGAACGTAATCTCGCTATCTACTTTTTGAGTTTTTTGGACAGTCACCCTCAATTATCATAACTCACGCCATCACATGAAACAAGTAGAAAAATAAATAGTCAATATGAACTTAACTTAACGATAATTGATATCTATCTTTGACCCAGAGGTCATGAGAACTTGTTGTACTCAAAAAAAGAAAAAAAAATCCCCTGATTTTTAGCAAAAACAGTGTCTGATATGGTTATGTACAGCAGCAGCACGAACCCATCTGTGTTACATCAAAGTTACATAACATGGGACTATGATGCTAAGAGAAACCTACGTCAGTTGAAGGTTGAGTTATTTCTAAACAAAAATTGTATTCACTGATTCAGTTGATGAGTTCAATGCCCAAGACAACACTTAAAAGCCACCTTCAATGATGAGTTCAGCTGCTGCACCCATTGCAGTCACCCCACCACTTTCCAGCAAGGCAAGAGCCAATTCTTCCTCGCTCAACTGCCTTAATCCGTTGCTCAACCTCTTCAAGATGTTCACGTCCACCTCCACCACCCACTTCGGTGCACAACGCACCATCAAGCTCACAAACCCTGAAACATAAGCCCGCCAAGTAGCCCAATCACACCCAATTGAAAATTTTCCATCTAGGGCACTCGCAAGAAACTCAAGGTGGGAATCTAGAATCTTTGCCCGCCTCTTCGATGCTGAAGATACCGAGTCTATACCCCACGAAAACGTTCCACAAAGAACTGAAAAGAATGCAAGTGCATAACCCCCAAGCACAGCAACCATGCCTCCATATTCTACACCTTCACGCTCCAGTGAATGGACCGACAAAAACCATGACGGCAAGGTTTCTTTAAACAAAGATTGGACTAAACCTGATCCACCGGATATCCAAACTAATGAAGCTCCTAGGGAAGCTGCAAGCTTGACACGTGACATTGCTGAAGCAAAAGAAACCTGTTCATATCGCATTCCATGTTTGGTCTTCTTTAGTTTTTCAGCTTTCTCCCTTGGTAACCCGCTAACTGCAATATCTCTGACAGAGAGCATTAGAAGAGACACGATCTCCTCCACCATGAACAAAGCATCTCTCACCGATCGATGCACTCGCAGATAGAGAATACCAGGAGCAACTGGAGACATCCCTCCTAAGACGTGAGAGCCAAAACCATGACCAAGGAGCGTGCCTACACCTCCATTACTGTTTAAATTGGAGTTTCCTAAACCGAGAGTTGAAGTGAAACAACTCTTAAGCAGCTGGACAACAGCATCACTATTATGGTGAAAAACAGTGCGAGAGGCAGAGAAAACAAGGAAGTCATTCCATCGCTTCACCTTCTGAGCCCATAATGAGGCTATAATAGGTGTGCATGGCCACGAACAACTAGCAGCAAGGGTGTTCAGCGCTGGGCCAACAAGGGCAAGAAGTCGTTCAGAGGCTTTATCCAGTTTATAAGTTATTGTGAGGCTTATTAGGGCAGCCAATGGTAAAGGAAGCATAGCTGGAGAATTCCCACCTGCAAATACAGTTCAAGCTCAATTTCAGATTGAACAGAAAACGAATGAAATGCAATAGCAATAGCAATACCAATTAAACTTTTTTATGTTCAGCAGCTTAATCACACTTCAAACACTGTAAAGTTTCTATCACCTTCCACAATAGGTATTTAGATTACTATATCTAAATGGACATTATATTCTACACTCCAGAACTTGCAACTACTTTTTTCGCTTTGTCCAACTACTTTGTCCGAGACTCGAATTTTCTAGAGTGTTGATGGTGGAGTTGTTTCACTTAATATCTTTTCAGTGCAATCACCAGGAGGCAGGAAGGGGGGCCTTCTTATCCAATTTTTGTTCAGCCAACTATTCAAGCGTAAAAGGAAGATTTTGTGGACCGACAGCAGGCTGTGCTTTTGGGTTTATCCTTTTAGACAAAGAGAAATAGGAGAGCTTGATGGAGAAATCTAAGGATAGAAGGGAGATTTCGGACAGTGTATTTTCTTAGCTTTTAGGTGGTGTTTATATGATAAAGAACATTTTTATTATATTTTCTGACAAGAAACAAAATTTTTCATAAACAAATGAGGTGAAAGATAAGAAATGCACCTACCTATTCCAGTCGATAGATTATAAAAGCGGCCTTCAAAAGCATCTCTTGTTTGTAAGGATTTTTGGGAACAAAAAGTTTCATAGGGTGGAAGATAAGAAATACACCTAACTGACAAAGGGAGGTCATAAAAGCACCCTTCAAAAGCATCTCTTGTTTGTAAATATTTTTTTCATATTCCTCCTTTTTTTTTTATTCAAATCAATGGGAATAAAAGTAGGAAAATATTTGCCAGACAAGTCATAACCTTACCATACGACTATCCCACAAACAGAAAGAATTATTCTACCAAAAAAAAAAACAAAACAAAACAAACATTAATTCACATCAAGAATTTACCTACAGCAAGACTAGGGACATCAACACCAGTTGCAGCAAGAATTTTTTTTATCTGCTGCTCAACGATGGACAAGGTTGCAGCAGGACTAGGCCAATCAGTTCCATTCATAAATGCTGGCTTCCATATACCCCGTGTAACTTCAGCTGAAAAGTAGCTCACAATAGTAGCAAATGATGCAGGTAGGAAATCAGCAAGGTCTTTGAGTCCTGAAACAATGAGGTAAAGAACTTACCAAGCAAACCAACAACAGATTCTTCCTACATCAGTCATGAGAAGAAATTTATTTTCATAAGACATGATAGCCATCAAAAGGGCACAAATATGGATTTGTCAAGAAGAAATCCGTACACAAATTCTTAATCAACAAAGATAGCCAAGTTCGATGAAAACAAAAAGGCAAATATACCACGCCCCGAAACAAAAATCTATGAAAGACAAGAAACCTAAAATTATAAGATTTTCCCATTTATTTAAATTGAGAAAGGAGGCATGCTAATAAATTCTCTAAGAAGCTCGTTGAGAGGTTTTCTACCATGCGAAATAGTAACTTATAGCTATACCCATGTTTGGTTTCATTTAAGAATAGGATGCAAAACTCGTGTTTATCCTATAACCCTCTCCCGTGGGTTTTCGAAATCCTCTCAAATCCAAAGCTATCCTTGTTTCCTAATGGGATGGAGAGAGAGAAAGGTGTGGGTAGAGAGAGTGCACCAAATTAATCTTGCTCCTAGGCATCTTATCCAACGCATCTCGTTCTCAAATCTTATATTCTCATGCAAACCTTGGAACGAACTGCAGAAATAAATGGGTGTTCACTTGATGAACATCTTAAGGGTATATGGATTACCGACTTGGTAGATGGAACTTTGAACATTATCACACATCCTTGGATGCCAACAAGCCTTTTTGAGCATCTAGACTGGAAACGATGACCTCACATCACCACTAAATCATGACTAAAACAGATAACTAAAAATGGGCCCTACTTTTAAGTTTGAGAACAGTTTCATCTCCCTTCTTTTCTTTGTCTTTTGACCTTGGTGAAAAAAAAATGTTAAAACATTGGAGGGTGGCCTGGCGACTGGCATTCTGTCCTTTTTTTCTTGTATTCTATTTATAGAAGTTAAATGATTAAACCCAGGATTTAATCCTAGAACAGAAACGTCTTTGACCATGATAAAGAAGTTGGAGAAAATTTTAAATTATGAGAGAAATTTTTTGAGCAAATGGGTAGATGGGAAGGTCGCAAAATGGCAGGTTGGGTAATTTATCGTGCAAGAATTTTTCACCTTTCGCTAAGTGTTTGAGGAGGCTTCCTTAAAAATCTAGGATGGTATAGCAATAGGATTTTGATAAGTACAAGCACCATGCTAATGGATGGAAATTTTGGTGGTGACAGAGCACTTTGAGGAATCCATGGAAGGCAATTTCAAAGTGTCTCCCCAAATTACTGAACTTCATTAAATTTTCTTTTAGTGGTGGTTCTAAGGTCTATTTTTGGGAAGAGTTTTGGACTGGGGATGGTCCTCTTTATTTATTATTCCTTCATTTGTATGTTTTATCTTTGCATAAAATAGTTTCATCGCCTATTTTCTTTCTGTGTTTAGGGGATTGCTTTTCATTTGACTTCCACCTGAGAAGTGCTTTGTCAGATAGGGTAGGCCAGGATATGTCCTCTTGATTCCTCAGGTTTGTTATTTTCTAATCTTCTTTTCCCTTGCTTGCTTCATTCTCTTATTTCACAACTCATTTTCTTTGCTAAGCTTTGGAAGGTCAAAATCCCTAATTCTAAAATTTCTCCTGACTAGTCACACATGAAAAAGTCAACAACATCAACGTTATCTAGAGGTCCTCTTCCTTAGTTCTAGGTTCTCAATAATGTGCAATGTTTTAAAAGGCTAAAGGTGGCCTCGAGGCTTTCCTCTCGAAGAGGCGAGGCATAAGCCTCGAGGCGGTATGAGGCATCAGCTTCAATTTTTAATTAAAAAAATTATACAAATCTAAAATTTATATGATCAAGTGTTGCTAAACACAATATAGTTATATAAAATTATAAAAAGAATTCACCTGTTAATTACCACTTAAATAAAAATTCTAGAACATCCTCAATATCACTTCAATTATCACTAAATTATCACTAATAGGATTGAGTTATTCTATAAAATTTGTCTCCAATGATTTTAAAGTCTAGGTAGTAAAAGTAGTAAAAGTAGGCTTGTGTTTTTTAACTATATTTTGTTTTTTATTTCTCATTTATCTTAACGAAATTTGGTGCTTTATATAATAATAATGATGATGATGATGATGATGATAATAAAGACTGAATAAAGATTTGATAATAAAGATTTCTCATTTATGAACATGATAGTAAGGAGCAAGGGCATTCTAACAGCAAGAAAGATCCGTGAGATGCCTTGGATGCAATTTGATGTGATTTAAGATTCAATACAATGGCTGGAGGGAGATGAAAATTTAAGCTTTTCCATGGATTGGGCTCGTCAAGAAAGAATTTGGTTTCATCTAAGGAACCTCAAGGTGGGAGAAATCCAATGGTTAAGAAGAGGGTCGATTAGGGAGGCCATACGCTACTACCAGCAGCTTCCTAAGAAATTAAAGTATGACAATTTGTCTTAGAGAGCATCCAACAGAATCCTTCTCTCTCAAGCTAATAAGGAGTGGTCAGAGAGGTCTTTGAAGATGAGATCTTTGAGCTGCCAAAAACTTTGGGAAAATTTGAAAACTCAGAGTCTGTGTGGCCTCACAGGTGAATCCTATATAAAAAAGGAACAAAAATTTAAATCTTGGAACACCAACAAGAATGGAATGTTAGCAATGTTCCACAATTTTTTTAAAAGTTTATCATCAATAAATGCCTAAAGAACTAGTACATTTGCTCCATTCTTAAGAAAAACTGAAGCCTTTTCCATAACTAACTTTCGACCAATCAGCTTGGTTACAAGAGTATATAAAATTATATCAGCAACAAGAGAGAGGATTTTATGTGAAAGAGATCGCAAGGAAGCACAACTTTTTAGATGGTAGGCATCTCCTCTGATCACCACGTCATTCGTTCCCATTTTGAATTTCATCTTGAGGCGTTTCCAGTTGACGATAATATCAGTATATCACCAACAAGAGAGAGGATTTTATGTTATTGACAATCCACTTATAAGTTGAGAGGGTTCTTTTGTAATATTAATGAGGGGAGAGGGAGAGGGAGATGATGCAAACTTTTTTTTTGGTATTAATGATCTAATTTATTGTTTACGGAGTGGACTTATGATATTTAAACACCCAGTTTAATTACAAATCACAATAAATGGTCAATTCTAAATTCAAACATCAAGAATGGTACAGTCTAAAAAGAATTTCCCCATTCCTTTTTCTTATTTTTAACAGTTGGGGTGCTTTTATTAGTTCTTTGTAGTTCATTGTATTTTCTGTTTTTTGTCTTACTTTTCACTCTTTCGAGAGCTTGTATCTTTAACAATTTTGTTCCTTT